GTTCTATAATACTGTATTTAAGCTGCTAAAGTCTTAAATAGCTACTTTCTAGTACGCTTTAAAATAGCTATTTAAAAAGTAGTTGCCTTTACATTACTAGTAAAGTCTATTATTTAGTCTTTCTAATATTTCTTTATCTATAAGGCTGTATTTAGTAGTAATAGTTTTTATTATTGTAGTAGTATTTTTATTCTCCCTCTTTTAAAAGTCTAGGTAATTTTAGCAGAAGTGTCCTACTTTTTTATAGTTTAGGTAGGCCTTGTTCTTTAACTACTTTTATTATTTTTTTATTAAAGGCAGCTTATTATGTCCTAGAACTTAGTTCTTTTTTAAAAAAAAGCTTTATATATGCTTTACATAACTAAGGTCTATTAGTTTTTTATTATATTATAAAAGCTTTTTTTTTTTAGAAATAAACTTTAGTTTCTAAGAAGTTACTTTTTACTTTTTTTTTTTTTTTTTACATTTTTAATAGTAGTTATTATAAGTTATTGCCTATATAATAAAGCTTTTAAGAGTAGTTAGTTTATTATTATGCATAAATTTATCTTTTATTATGTTACTTAGCTTATTATAAAACATATAATAAAAAGCTTTTTAGTCTATTTATCTGCAGATAGCTAATTATTCTCTAAAGTATGCTGCATAATTTTAGGCTATGCTGTTGCTTTATTTAAAAGTGTCTAGTTTATTTACTATCATTTTTTATTTATCTATAGTTTTATAGATAGCTGTTAAGGCTTCTTTAAAAGCTTTAATACTACTAAATATTTTTTTTATTTTAAAAGTAAGTGTTATGCTATTAGCTCTAAAGTTTATTTAATTATCTATATGTAGCTAGAACTAAATTACAGAGGGGCCTTCTAGGTGTAGTTCTATCTAAGATATTATTTCTATATTAGTCTAAAATGCTTTTTTATTATATTATATATAAAAGTAGCATTTAGTAAAGAAAGGGTAAAGGTCTTTTAATAATTTTTTAAAAGGCTTTAAAAAAGCTAGTCTTAAAGTCTTTTTAGCTATAATGCTAGTTCTTTTAGTTAAAATATTCTAGAGTTTAGCTAGCTTTACTTATAGTGCATGTATCTAGTGCGCAGAGCTAGTAGCTTATTAAAAGTTTAGAAGTAATAAAAAGTTATTAAATTCTACTATTTTTTAGTAAAAGTTTTTAACTTTTTTTTAAAAGTTTGCTAGTTTATTTACTTTGTTACTAATCTACTAGAGTTTCTTTATGTTATCCTAAATAGTGTTAATTTGTTCTACTAAAATAGCTTTACTTTAAGTAGAAACTTCTATAGATTCTAATAAAGCTGCATAGGCTATGTTAGAATCTAGGTTGTGTTAGAAAGTATTTATACTTTTTAAAGGAGTAGTGTTTAATGTTATAATCTTTACTTTATAAAAGCACTTAGGTCTTATAATGTTCTTATAGAAGATGTAGAACAGATAGTAGAGGCCAACAGCAGGGTGTACAGTCCTATGTATAGGCTAATAGGCTAGTAGAGGAGGGTAGAGTGACTAGATTATAGTTTGCCCTTTATGTAGTAGTAGAAAGGCTAAGTTAAATAGTCTTATTAGACAGAATTAGAGGTATATATAGTGTAAGATATATAAATAGTATTATGGCTCTTTAGAAAGCTAAATGCTACTTAGTTTATGTAAAGAATAAACTAAACATTAAACACACCTTCTAAAGGTTGTTTAATGTAGGAACTATATACATGTACTAGAAGTGCTAAGGGGGGCATAAGGAGTTTATAGGAGCTTGCTAAGGAGAGCTCCTTTAAGCTCCCTTGAGCTCCCTAGATTCGCGGCCTATACTTCCTATTAGATGATGCATTCTTCCATTACTGCGGGCATCCGTGCTGCCTCCGCGTCCTCCGACTGGTTCCCAAGCGAGCCCTGCCCCAATCCAGCTAGATTGTGGAGCACTGCCGGTGGAGTTACGCTGGTCCAACCGTAGACCGTAACACTAATAAATGCTCTACAGCTTTTTTAAGATTACTAGGCATCCCTTCTAACTAGAGCTAGCCTAAAGAAAGTTCTTTAGACTAGAAAACACTATTATTAGCTAATAAAGCTGTAGCAGCATTAGATAGCGGCAATGTAGGAAGTCTACAACCCTTAGACACAGGTTAGGAAGAAGAGAGGCCTGCTGCCTTTGCCTTAAGTGCTTTAATCTTATCTAATAATAAAAGGTCTTCTTCTAGATAACTTGCCTTTTAACTTTTAAAAAGATTAAGCTGTTTCTAACATTAAACCTAGTAAGTATAAATTACCTGCAACTTTTTTAAGCTTATAGTATAACACTCCTCTTCCTACTTTTTTTAATCCTAAGTAGTTTTTATTTCTTAGAGAAGCTTCTTTTACTCTCTCTCTAAGTAATTCTAGGTAATATTAGAAATAAAGGCGTTATAATAACCTTTCTTTTTTACACACTCTACATACTTGTCTAATAATAAAGTTAGAACACAGGAAGAACTGCTTAAGTAGTAGGGACTACACAGCTGCATCTTTGTACAGCAAAGGGGATTAAGGTGAGCAGTAGTGCGTAAACAACGCGCAACAGTAGAAGGACGTAGACACTAGTAAGGCATAGTTAAAACAGACAAACGTTTGTAAAGCATTTACAAAAAGGCACCTACTAAATAAAAGAAAATTTTAATACTTATAATAGTGTAAGCAAAACAGTAAGAACGCTAATAAAAAGAAAAGCCTGCATGTTACAACCTATAATTAGACTGTAAGTAATTAGTTAGCTATGCCCTACTATTTAAATAATGAAAGATAGAAAGTTCTTAAGTTCTTACTTAACAAGTCATGTAACCTAACAGACAAGGAATAGACTAAGCTTTTAGATTAATGCGCAGTAAAGTGTGTTATCTAATAAGCAAGAGACGTTTACATGCATTGCATGCAACCCTATGTATATAGTTTAAAATCTTAACTTTACTTAGAAGCTATAACTAACAGTTAGTTTATTTATTATATAGACTAAGTAGTATTACTACTTTTTAATAAGAAGTAATCTAATTATATATCTTACACTATATATACCTTCTCTTTTATTCTACCACAGGAACTGTTTAACCTAAGCACCTTATACTGCTGTTAAAGGGCAAACCACAGTTAGCCGCCCCTTCTAGCTCTAGTAACCACGCCTTGACGGACTGTACACCCGTCTAAGACTAAGTTCCCTCCCTCTCGCACTCCTAATCTCCTCTATAGGCCTAGAGTTCTTCAGACACCATTTCTCCAGAGTTAAGATTGTAACATTACTTTAAGTGTGGGCATCTCTAGAGCGCTGTCTATAGGATTTAGAGCGTCTAGTCTATCTAGATTAATTAGGTCCTATAGGTTTTTGCTAAGAGCATAGAACTAGAGCTAGATAAACTAGAGAGGCTAGCTTGCGTAGTTCTTAAGCTAGTACGCTCCTGTTAGGAGAGAAGCATCTTAATTAGCTATAACATAAGTGTTGCGTTTGCCAAAAGGTCAACCTCCCAGCTAGCACAGCAGAAGGATATATATAGACGGATAGCTGTACGCGACACACCCCCCAGCTTAAACTGTGGAACAAGAGAGGTAAAACATAGTAAAACAACCTTAACACACCCTCCCTAGCCTAAGCAACAGAACTTAGAGACAGATCTAGTAAGGTAGCCTCTGTAATAGACGCACTGCCTAAATGCTTTTTGCTAAGCGTAGAAATTAAACACGCAGTGCTCTAGGATAATGCGATCCTATTAGTGGAGCAGGGGTGCGCAAATTTTTAAGCGCTAACTATCTACACTACGCTGCAAACTAGGCTTATAACTGTTGCGTTTGCTAAAAGGTTAACCTCCTAGCTAGCACAGCAGAAGGATATATATAGACGGATAGCTGTACGCGACAATAAGCTTTAAAGGTAATAAGAATAAGTAAAAATAAAAAATAAAGCTTCTAAACAGCTTTTACTAGCGCTATAGTTATGTAGGGAGAATTATCCTAGGTTTTTAAAGCGCTAGGCCTATAACTATAGAGGATAAAATAGCCTAGCAGTAGCTGTTTAGAAGATTAGATAAAGTGACTCTGCTATCTAAGAGAGCTAAAGGCTCTCCTTATATACACTAAGCTTCGGAACATAATATCTCCAGATCCCGAGCTGCGTCCCAGGCTCTGAGCCCCAGTCTAAGGCTCTTAGTATACGCGACAGTATATAAAATATATTTAAATTTTTAAGCTTATCTTTAAAAAATAGAGCTTAAATTTACTTTATAACTTTATTTTTAACTTTAGTAAAAAAGTATTACTTTATATTTTATATTTAAAACTACTGCTTAATTATATAAAAAGTAACATAAACTTAAAACTTTTTAAAAAGGTAAGTAGCTATCTATATATATGTAACACTTTTATAAAAAGCCTAAGTAGATGGAGCTAGTATAGGTTAAGGTTAATCTTAGAACGCTTCTTCTACGTTGCTACTATACTAGTAAGCACTTGTATAATGTAACTATTTAAAAGATGCTTACTAGGCATTATAAAATTAACATGTATAAATGTATAAATGTGTATAAAATAATTATAAAGTTATAAGTAGCTAAAGGCTATAATTAAGGATGTATAAGTGTAGGGTAAAGAATTTTTAAATTAGCGATTAGTTTTTTCCCTTCACTAGCTAACAGTCCGCTGTACTCTCCTACCATTTGTCATCCGCCCGATTTTTCTAGTCCGGGAAATTGCAAAGCTGGCTGGTGAATTTCGGGATATGATTGGGTAACATTAGAAGCGGCACACACACATCACACCACAGTTTGCTTTTTGGTGCTCCGAAAGACACTAGGAGCTAGAGAGGGAAAAGGCTGAGAAGCAAACGAGTTGGACATCTGCGAAGCAAGACATACTATAGACCCCCTGCAAAGGAAATGAAAAGAAACTATGCGTATCAACCTGCTCCCGCTGCTGCAATTTGTCTCCCTAGAACTACGTACCATCAATCCACGGATCTGGGTGCACCATTCTCACAAGCTGGTCCCGCATCGTTCCTTGAGCACCAGAATTACATCATCACTTTTGAACGGCAGGCTAGCTCCCGGTGTCGGTTTGCTATGATTGATTCTGGGGAAAACGGGGAAGTTAAGCTCTCTCTTGTTACCGTTTCTCTTATTGGTCTCTTTTACATCGATAGTAATGTCATACTTATTGATTAGACCGGCTACTGCAAACGCGATGGCGCGGCGAGCCATATTGCGACCAGGGCAAAGAGTACTGCCTCCACCAAATGGCCTGTACGATTTTGAATTGAGAAGTTTTGGTGTAGCCACAAAGCGATCTGAATGGAGGTTCTCGGGCTCGGTTCCCCAGACGTCTCGGTTGCGGTGGAGCTGGTGAAAGGGTACCTGTGTCCCATTAATGCAATTCAATTCAAATCAGTCGGTAGGCACATACCATAACTCTACTCCCTGGTTCGAGCACTTTGCCGCCAACAGGTGTCGGTGCAACAACGTCACGGACGAGGGGGCTTGCAACCGCGAGGCGGAGGGTCTCGTTGACCATGGAGCTGAGGTGGGGGCATTTCTGGAAAATGTATTCCTCGTCATATTTTCCGCCTTTAAAGCCCCCTTCGACCTCTTTCTGAATGGCCAAGAGTAGGTCGTGGTCGTATATTATATGCGCAAAGACCCAAAAGGCGACCTTATACGTATTGCCGAGGACCCTGATTCAAGTTAGTCGGACATTGTAAAGTTGGGGTTGGTAGTGATCTACGCCCAAAAGTGTAACATAACAGTCTTGGCCATGTCTTCAACATTGACATCCGAATCTCGCATCATCTTCTCCATTGACTTGACAAAGAAAGCACTGTCGCTACGCTTATCTACGGGCAGTTGTAAATATTTGACAAATGTGTTCACAATGGCGTCTTTCGCCTGTACCATGTCGCCGCTGATGATTCGTGGCATAGAGAACGTCCACTTCCAATTTGTGACCTCCCAGACCATAAAGTCGCGCAACAGGACAGGGTTCACTTCCCAAATAGCCGCTCCGAAAAACGCGCTTGTGATCCCACCGTCGAAGAGGTCTACCATTAAAGCCATGAGCGAAACAGGGGTCCCGTTGCCCATTGTAATGCGCTGCGGATTTTCTATTGCGGTCGGCCTCCGTTCAAGAGTATTCCATATGTATGGAAGGATCTTTTTTCCGAAAAGATCATCGAGGTGAGGTCCGGGTGACAGTTGCTGGCGATGGTATTCGTTTGTCATGAGAGCGGGCACCGTTGGTACGGACATGCCGACGTTGTGCTTATGAGAAGGATTGATGGTGAAGAGTTTGCTGATGCCATCGTTTGATACGCCAATCATGTGGTGCATTTCTTTGATCATGCTGTGGTATGAGATGGTTGTTGTGTTCTTGTACATGTAGGCAACGTCCTCGGGATCGGTGAGGACATAAATGCGTGCACCCGCGAGCCATACGCTGTACGGTTCTTTGCTGTCCTTGAAAAAGGTTCTAGAGTATGTCATTAGCCGGCATTGTCTAAGGTCTTTTTTAATACGAATGGCTTGCCTTGCGCTCTCGAGTGCAGCATTGTAGTCGCCAAAGAAAGCGCGGAGGTGTCCTCGTGTGCCTGGTAAGCAACAGCTGGAGCTGCTTGGAGCCCCTTCTTACCAATATCTACTTGGGTCAGTCTTGGAGTCTTCCTATTGAGACACGAAGAATACTCACATGGAATCCAATAAGGAAGTTCCTTAGGGCGCGTAGGATATAGGAAAGGGGATATCGTGAACTCCCACAATCGCCAGCTGAGCAGCAAAAATGCGCAAGAAGCCGCCACAAGTAGAATCGCATTTTGGTTCCCAATTTTACCAGGGAGTATATTTTTAAAGGGGAATCTCTCCATGACGAGAGAGAGGGTTCTGAGTAGAGGGAGGATGAAATCTGAATAAGTTGCGGATAACGGGAGTTGCAAACGAGTACCGTTGAAAATCGCTATAATCAGGTTGACTGTTATCTCCTCGAGAAGAGCAGGTAATGTACGTATCTCTCTGCTCGCAGGGATCCTTGTAATAACTGTCTCAGAGCCGGCCGAGATTTGAGCCAACCTAAGGCAATCACGGCCATCCCGGGATGTGTGGGCCCAGCGGGCTTGCCTCAGGTGTGTTCGCGTCCAATACTGGCAGCGACTTTGCTGCTTCGTCTCCCCCCAATGCTAGGGATGCAGCTTTGCACCATGACGTCCGGTTTCTAGCACACCCGGCATATGCAAATAAAATGAAAGGAATTTATTGCCAAGTCTTAGAATGTCCGGAATTAATCTAGAGGTCACTGCAACAAGCCAGATGGCATGGATCTCAGAATCCTTATGTTCCACCTGGGAGAACCCCCAGTTACTCCAATGCCTTACCCATAATCGCTCCTGTCCAGGAGTCTAGCCGCTTATCCAAGGCACCACCAAATCCATACCCCTCAAGCAGTCAGATGTCCGAAATCAGCCATCTCGTATTCTTGGGTCAGATTTCGGGTACTTGCTGTCTCGGCGTCGATGTTGATGTAGCTTGTCTTGTGAATTTGGCTTCTTTCCTTCTTCCATTCACCGTTCTGTTCTGGAGGAACCATGCCATGATCGCCGCTTTGAAACATGCTTCGCAACGGCGTGAGTAAGGATGAACCCCAAGTAGTCAACGAAACCCCTTTCTTTTGAAGATACCGTCTGAAAGCTGCAGTGGAGGGCATACAGCTACAAGAAATCCCAACACACATCTCCAACAAAGCTAGAAGAAGAACAGGATATGTCCAGTAAGTGTAGTCGTTGATGTGGTCATTGAGCTTATGCTTGAATACAATACTCATTGAGGAGGCTATACAGGCACTAATTTTTGTTAGAAAAAGAGAGAAGGGAGTTAGATTAGACGCACAGAAAGCCAGTTGCAAAGATGGCCATGACACCGAGGCGGGCCCGCATGCTAAACTGGAGCTTCCGGACCACCGAGATTGGTAGTACAAGAATGTAACAGTCCAGAAAGAGGCTCCCCGAGGCAATAGGTATGGTCATATTGAACGATTTCGTGTAACGCGGATTCTGCGCGCTTTCCAGCCATGTCTGCCCGGGACTCGGGGCATTGAAGTATATGCTAACGACAATGACAGCAATGTAAAAGCCCCAGTTGAGGAACAAGCCGATGTAGACTCCAAGACGCAGCCAGTGTAGCGGCTTGAAGAGATCGAGGTACATGAGGAAAAACGAGGATTTAGCAAACGCCCAAACCAAAGCGGTGGGCCAGTTCGCAAAAAATGAAAACTTCGAAAGTCAGCTAAGAGCATTCGGGCGCAGTCAACCTACAATCAAGAAGTCATTACTCATTGTGTGTGCAATCGAGATATCCCATAAATGGGTCCCAAACTTTGCGCGAGTAACCCCTTCACAGTCAGTGCAGTGTCAGAAATGCAGAGGCAAAAACTTACCAAAAACACAGATTCCATAATAAAGACATGTCCCAATCTGTAGATTTTTTTATTTAGACATACTGTTCAAGAACCAAGATTTACCTACTGCAGCTATGAGGGTCGTCCCTGAGCCAATTTAGTTGTTGTAACCAGCGTGCCCAACAGTCCGTACTACTGTACGATTAGGAGATTTTGAGGCCTGTACGGACGAGATTGCCTGTACGTACGTACGGTCGTGAGGAGGAGAGGCAGCTGTACGGACAGTAACCGCACTGTTTAAAATAAGCTGTACAGGTAGTACTGTACAATTAATGTACGTTGTAACTATTAATACGCTATACTATAGAAGAGGTAGAGTTAAAGGCCTAATAGCTCCCTATAAGGCTATTTTCTCTAGTAATGTAAGCAGCTAGAGCTAGAAGCTTGCTCCTTACTATTTAGTGTTTAATCTAGTGCTTCTGCAGCTATATAGCCTTAATTATTGCACCTAATAAGTTATTATAATTATTAGTTATAGTATAGCTAGCAGCACTAAAACACCTCTTGCACTTACAGCTTATAGCTAAGATAGTAAGAAAATTAAAAGTAATCTTATAAAAAATAAAATAGCTTAATTTACCTCTAGTAAGCTACTACTATAAAAGATCTTTATATAGTAATAAGTAATTCTTATAAAGATTAAAGTGTATAGCATTATAGTAAAATTATAGCTTATTTAATAGCCTCTTACACTTATATAAGTGCTTATTTATTATAAGGAAAAAGTTAATAGTAAAGTAGTTTTTATAATTAATGTTATAATAGTTACTACTAAGTAGTTTATAACACTTTAAAGATAAAGCTTTAGCTTTATTTTTATTTTTATTTTTATTCTTATCTTTAGCATTTATGTACTATATAAAGATTATTTTTATTAACTAAGTTACTTTATTAATCTAGGCCTTATAATAGCGCTAGTAAGTTTAAAACTACAGTAATTATAGCTAAAAATAAAGTATAGTTACTACTATGTAATATAAGGCTAGAGGCTTAAAGATTAGCTTACTCTAGTAAGTTGTAAGCTTTTAATAGCTAAACTAGATAGCACTTTTAAAGTAAAAAAAGCTAAGCTTATTAGTAAAAGTGTTACTTATTTAATTAAAGTAGATTTAAAAGCACTATAGCTTTATAATTATTTACTAAAGTAAGCTAAATAAGCTATTACTTTTAAGTTTTTTTATTATTTAATAAAACTTTTTTAAAAAGCTTATAAAGCGCTTAATTTTATTTTAATTATCCTTAGTTATAAGATCTAATAAGGTGTTAAATCTAGCATAGTAAGCCTTATTTTTAGCATTAAAAAAGCCTTTTTATTACTTTTAGAAGCAGCTAATTACCTCTTTAAGCTTAAAGCAGCATAGAAGCATAAAATATACTAAGTGCTAGTGTACTCTACTATTACATATAAGATTAAGTGTACTAAACTTCTAAATAAAGTCCTTTTTAGCTAAGTCTCTTTATATAGTGTTAAAAAGCCTTATGCGCTTATATAAAGCTAGAACGCTATTTATAAGGTTATAAAAACACCTAACAACACTACGCTTTCTATATAGCTTAAATTAATTATAAGAAGTAGCTCTAGTAAGCTTCTACTTAAATTTAGTAACACCTTTACTATATATAATAGCCTTTATAACTACCTAGATAGTGTGGCTAGCGCAGCAGATTTAGTGCTGCCTGTTAAGCTTATACAGCAGATTTAGGTAATTATTAAGGCCTTAAATAAGCTTATTATTGTTATTTAACATATTATCTCTAATAAAGTAACTAAATTTTAATGTAATATTATATTTAATAATAGTAGTAGCTACTTTAAAAGCTTGTGCACTTTTAGTATAGTTACTATAAAAGTTTTTAAATCTAATAAAAAGATCTTGTTATTTATATAAAGCATCTAGTAAAGTTAGTGTTATAGAAAAGTAGTAATAGTAGCCTATGCACACTTACTAATAAAATAAGCTACTACTATAAGAAATAAAAGATAATTTCTACTACTTTATATATCTACACTTAATGTAATTTTTAATAATGCTAAATTTAGTACTATTAAAATTTTTTACTTCTACTGCATAAATGCATCCTAAATATTAGTAAAAAGTGTAGTGTATAATTATAAAAAAGTAGTAAGAAGATCTATATAATTCTAGCTAATAAAGCTTTAAGTTTTTATAAAAATAGTGTTTTTAAATAATTAATCTTACACTATAACCTAATCTACTAGGGCACTGCGCAGAGGGCCTTTCTGCTAAGGTGTATAAAATAGCCTACGCAACAAGCTTACTACTTTTACTTTAGCTACCTTTTATAAGTGCTAAGAAGCTTAAAGGCTATTAAGTAAGAGCTTTTTATTAACATTAACTTTATACTTTTTTTATAAATGCTTTACTATATAGTTATAACTATTAACTACTTTTGCAGCGCCTTTATAATATTATGTATAGCACTAATAGTAGAGCTAGAGGTGTATAACCTTACTTTACTTTTTATATAGCATTAAATCTACTTTATAAAGCTACACTTTTAAAACTTTATAGTTACTTTTTATTTTCTTTTTATTTTTTTCTTAGTAACCTAATTACATAGCTAGTAAAGCCTCTTTTAAATCTAATAGCTATATATTACCCTAGTTAATTTTAAACTTAGTGCTAGCATTATAATTACACTTTTTTAAGTACTTTTTTAATTACTTATTACTAGTAAGTAGTGTAGCCTTATAAAATAGGCTAGTAAAAGTGTTATAAATTGCCTTTAATTTTTTAAGCTTTTAAGACTTTATAGAGTATATAATAGTAATACTAGATTAACTTAATAAGGCCTATAAGGCTATAAGGCGCGTAGATAAGTAATTCTGTAATAAAAAGTAGTTAGTAATAGGCATTATTTTAATTTTAATAAGCTATACTATTTAAATAAGTAAGTAAAGTCTTCTCTAAGCAGCTAAATTAGTGTTACACATAAGATTTTCTACTAATTAGCCCTTTATAGCAGCTTCTCTAGTAAGGGCTCTTTAAAACACTAAATTAAGCCTTACAAGCTATTCTAAAATGCTAACTATATACTGTACTACAGACAGTACTTAGGGCAACAGCTATTATACGCACTGACAGAAGATCGCTGTACGTTTGTACGGTCTAAATCAACCGTACACCGTACTCAGTACTGTCAGTAGTACGGCCTATTGGGCACGCTGGTTGTAACAGAAGGGCAATTGGGAAAGGAAGCGCTGACAGTCATCAAGGGTGGATTTCCGTTGTACTTTCAACTTGACAAATAGCCTCATTCCTAGAAAAAGAAACATGACTGCCATCGCAACTCCGCCCACGGCGATAAGAACGTAGCCCTCAGACTTAGGGTTCTCAAGGTTGGGCATTATTCCAGGTGGTGGATTCCCAGCCGGCATTTGAGCCAGCTGTTGAGGGGTCATATTTGCAAGCGGGTCTGACATGACTTCAAGAAACTGTATTGAATCAGTATGAGTGAGGATGTTTGAGAATATGGACTGAGCATAATTTTTGATGTGGTCACAACGGCGAGTATGTTCAATTTGAGCATGATGCAACATCTGAACGCAGCAATAATGTAACTACCGAAGTCCGATAAGGCAAGCATGTACAACTGCGGCGAGGGTGGGTGCTTCAAGGTGGGGGAGGAAGTTGAAATCTGGCGTTGCATAGACCACGCTCTGGGTTCACTTCTTGCTCAAATGGCAGTATTCCCTCTCCATCTCCCGGTGCTTTTGAAACAGCACGTTGTAGTGCAGTGGAGGGTACCTAGCCTCGGCTTCTCTGATACAGTTGTTAGATTGCATTTTGCTGTGCCGCAATATGAATAGTCTACTGTGTCGCCGAAAAGATAGAAGACATATTGTCGTCAACACGACTTCCGCGGCACAGTATGCGAGTCTCCACAAAAGTGTCACTCGGACAGCAAGCTCCGTCAAAAGGCACCCCCTGATATCTCAACAATAAAGCCATTTCCAAGCAAAAACACTAGTTTGCGGGTAAGAGAGATAGAAATTCTCGGGAGCAGTTTTTCTTATCCATTGCACGGTAAACAATAAACGTGTTTTGCCAAGGAATCATTTTCTCTAGGGCTTAATTAACCTCTTGGCCGCATGACGGCCGTAGTCCGCGCTTACAGCCTGCGTCCGGTTGCTTTACTCCAGAGAAAAACTAAAAAAGGGTTCCAGTGGTAGAGTAAGAGTCCAGCCGCGGTACCTTTCCTAATTAGGCCTAGTGCTTAGATTTTCTTTTCTCCGCTTGCGCTAGAATATCTCTAAGGCTAACTAGCTCTACCTACTAAACCTCTACTCTCTCTCTCTCTTTTAACACTTTGCGCGCTGCCTTCTCTACTACAGTATATATTACTTAATGCTTTAATTTCTAAGCTTTTTTATTTTTATGCTTAATTTCTACTGCTTTTTTTTAACTTTTTTGTAGTTTTTTACTAACTTTTTTAGCAGCAGGTAATAGCGCGCTTCCTCCCCTGCCTCCGCTCTCGCTCTTGCAGCACCTCTCCCGCCTAGGACTCCCGCCAGAAGCGCTAGAAGATTGCTAGCAGTAGAGCTCTGTCTGTCCCTGTAACTCTATTATACATAATTCCTTACTACCTCTGCTATTCTGTTGCTAGAGCTTAAAGAACATAAAGTTTAAATATAAATATTTAAAAAGTAAAAGGCTTTTACACACTTTTACTTTTACTATAGTAAAAGAAGAGTGCTATAAAATAGTAAAAGCTTGTCTTTTTTAAGCTTTTTAAGCTTAATTCTCTAAGCTTCTAGGGCTATAAAAAAGGCAGCTATGCTGTTAGCTATTTTCTCTACATTCTTCTTTTTAAGCTTTACCTCTAGATTTTCCTTTTTGCAGCATTATAAATTCTAAGACTTTTTTTATCTTTTAATATAAGAATATTAGCTAACCTACTTTT